AATTTTTATAACCATTTTTTGTATGTTATTTCCTGTCGTTTGTATAGAGACTGCAGTATTCAATACTGCGATGAATCACAACTCCCGAAGTCTGTTATTATGGGAGAAAAAACTGGTAATTTATATATCTTTGTAATTATATCTAATTTAATATTTATAGTCACTTTGCATTTCATTATTACTTCTATTGTTTTTATTATTTTTATCGTTATTTGCAAAAATATATTTTTTTATATCTGTGTAATGAAAAACATATTTTATAATATAGTTTTTTTTACAAACTATTGATGCAAAAAATGATTGAAATATATATTTCATAAATTTTAAGTGGATTTTAAAAGCGATGGGATTTATGCGGCAAAAACTTTTCTCATCTAAAATGAATTTGAGTTCAGATTTTTATGATTTTTGTTGTTGTTATCAGAAACAGAGAAAAGTGCGAAAGAAGACGACTGTCCGACAGATTCTGAGCAAAAGTTATCGCAAATCGATAGAACCGTTTCGTCGACACATATCGAGGCCATGAATACGCTGTTTGACTGCACTGAAGACGACTCAGAGGGCGCACAATACTATGATTTGCTGCTAAATCCGGAAAGATTTACAGGTATTGAATGTCATTATTCATAAAAAAGTATATAAAACAAAACAAAATATATAATAACAGCGACTTTGTGTGATATTTGTTATGATAGGCTATAGTGGGGAGACGTGTGACCGTATCTGGAGATCAATATACGAAGAGAATTGTTTCCTTCAGAAGCAAAGCAATCCGTTTTCATTAGACGCGTTCTGTTATGAGGAGCGCATCTTTTACAGAGCGATCTCTGGATTGCATTCCTCTATTAATATACATCTCTCGGCCATATATCACATGATTGACGGATCCTTTACTCACAACACCAAAGAGTTCGTCAACAGATTTAATGGTAAAACTCATACCTTTCTATTGACTCTACATTTATATGGAAAATATAAGCGAATCTAATGTTTACATTGATATTTTAGGCCAAACCGACTATTTAAAGAATTTATATTTTGTATATTTATTGGAATTACGGGCTCTCCATAAGAGTGAACCCTATTTGCTAAACAAAGTCAATTGGCAGTCA